AAAAAAAAACAATTTTTTGAGCCTCACGTTTGTGAACAAGCAATCTCGCAACTAATTATAAGCTCAAATTTATTGTGTGCTTTTGTGGTTAATCTTCTTTCTTCGTTATTTTAGCTTCTGGCATTGTTTTGCAATACGAAATGTAATTTTAAACCTCTATAAAAGGGATGTTAAGGAATTACACATTTGAATAAACTTCTTAACTTGACATTTTCGGTTTACTTAATTTTAAACTTTGAGTGGGTAAGTTTCAATTTGAAGTGGCCATTCAATGAGGATCTACCGGCAGATGAATCAAGAGTAAATACAGTTACACTACAAGAGTCGTAACCTCTCGTACTAGTTGAATGTAACATTTTGACTTGTGTTGAGATTATTTTATTATTGTTATTGTTGTCTCTAATTTAATGCTTTTCAGCAGTCTGACAAATACGCACGCTGTTTCCACAAAAAAAGGTTCAACCTTCCAAGGAAGCACTTTGTAGCACAGATTTGGGATCTTGTCAAGGCGCATACAGTTATATAATCTTATTATGGATAGTTACTACGACTAAATGATCAATCCTTTAAAGTTAATTCGTAATTATTGAAAACTTCAAAGTGCACTTTATGAGGGTGACTTCAGAATTTCAGCATAGGTTGAATTAAACATATCTTTACCATAATACGGCACCAAAGTAAATTTGCTCAATAATCAGCGCTCACCTATGTCACACATACTATAAAATGAGCTTGATCTGAAGCTCCGCTGAGACATTTTCATAATTCAAATGTACTACTCTTATGCAAAATTTTCAGTTTACAGGAATGGATGTCATCTAGATGCACTTAAAAATCGGATTCTCTTGAGTTTAAATAGAAAACACAGCAAATCTAATACTTCTTTCAAAATACATATTGAAGATTTACAAGATTTTGTTTGCTGTAAATATCATGTTTAACTTCATCCTTTACCATAATGCTCCCAAAAGCAACATACTTTACTGAACTTTCTTTTTCAGCCGCTTTGCATAATCTCACGGGCTACGAGGATTGTAACTTCCTTCTTGATGATGTAGTTTGGGAAGGCAACGGCCCTCAGAAAGCCATTCTTAAAGTTACGAATCCACTAGAGGCAAAAACCCATAAAAACATCGGTGAGAAACTTCTTGTTACAGGAAGTAAACTCAAAGGGTTGCACATTTGTTAGCTGCGATAGTGTCAGACAATGCAGCTTGTGCAAAATTATCTTCTTCCTTCCAGATTTCCAAGTAAAGCTATGCGAACTCCTCAACGAAAACGATATTCCATGCCCAAAGATTATCAAAAGGCTCGATGGAAGAAAGTGGGCATTGGAGGAAGTTGTTGATGGAGGTAGTTTGAAGTTCACGTTGCACATAGCTGTTTGCTTGGGACATATTTACAGAAAACGATGTTGAGAATGGCACTGGTTCGCGCCCTGTTAGTCGGATTTCTGTTCCAGTGCCTACCTTTGTGTTAGATTAATATCGCAAATGCCTTTACGAAACTATATAAAAATTAGAAAAAATAGCAAGCGATTATTGGTCCAAGTCATGTAAGTTATCCTGGCGCACAGTTTATCAGAACAAGTTGTTGAATGATAGGACAACTCAAGGTGATCAACCCAAAAACTTTGTGACTTT